CACTATGTAGCCCAGGTTATTATTAATCTCTTGTGGCGATCCTCCTGTGTCAACCTCCAAAGTGTTGGAATTACAGGGGTGCACCACAGGGCCTGGCTGCATCTGTGTCTTGTGATGGTGCTGGAATTGTTTTGGACACTGTCATATTTTAAGTAGTGCTGGCCCACTTGGTCATTGGGAAGGCCAAGTAAACATAGGCAATGCCTTGATGAAGCTCATGAAAAAGCAAATCTTAATAAGTAAAGTACTCTTCAAGACTCCAGTAAAATCATGGAGTAAACTTGTTTCCTTGTGTATGAATTCCACTTATGGACAGTAAATATAGTTATCATCCTAGCCCACTTTGTACTGTGAGGACCTGGATGCAGTGTTTATCAAACTTTAGTCAATAAGAAGTCAAATTTTTGTGACACATATTTATTTACCTACTGGGATTGTTTATTTCTTGCTGTTCTATAAGATATTTTTTAGTTTTCACAAGTCTATGAAAAGGTTTAGGTTCGTTAACATTTTTGTTGTTATTATATCTTTAATAAGATAGGGAAAAAATGAGAACCAAGACCTGTCATGTAGAGGTACAAGATCCCAACAATGAATGTAACTGTACTGTATACCTAAAATGTACCAATAAACTTAATTAAAAAAAAAGATATTCAAATCCCTTTTCATCAGTTTTGTTTCCTTCTATGAGGGCCTGAACTAACAAATAAGTTTAAATTTTATTTTCTATAGACATTTTATTGTGTGTTGTCACTATCTTGTGTTTGATGAAGTAATTATTTTTTTTATTGTGGTACAATATTTTTAGCAATGTTTATTTTTAACTATTTTGAAGTACATGTTTGAGTGGCATTAAATACATTCATACTACTGTGATGAAGACATACTTTACAGTGAACAAAGGTAAGAGATATGTAATAATTCATATAGAAACTGTTTAGACCAGAAGATATGCACGAGTAGGAGATATTTATATTTTGGGATAAAATTTTTATGAATTTATATCTTAGAGACTATGATAAAGGTTAAATGAAAAATAAAGTGATTTATGTATGACTTTTCTATTGATGTGCAACAAATTGTGACAACTATAGCAGTTTAAAAGAAAGCACACTTGCCATCTCATTTTTATGGTTCAGGCATCTAGACGCAGTGTAGCTAGGTCTTATCTGAGAACATGTGCAAGGTCTTAGTTGAGCTACATTTCTTTCTCCAGTTCATGTTCTTTTACAAACTCATGTAGTTGTTTTAAGAATTCAGCTCAGCCGGGCGTGGTGGTGCACTCCTGTAATCCCAGCACTTGGGAGGCTGAGGCAGGAGGATTGCTGTGAGTTTGAGACCAACCTGGGCTACATAGTGAGTTCCAGGTCAGTCTCAACTACATAGTGAGACCTTGTCTCAAAAAAACAATAAATAAATAAATAAATAGATAGATAGATAGATAGATAGATAGATAGATAGATAGATAGAGGAATTCAGCTCATTGTGGTTTAGGACTGAGGTCCTTGTTTTCATTTGGTGTCCATCTGATCAGGAACTGTAATTAGAGTGGCAAAAACCTTTTCACATTTGATTGTAAAGTGGATCCCATTCTACTCATAGTTCAACCCACACTTTAAGGGGAAGGGATATTATTAGGGCATGGGTCATTGGGATTATCTTAGAATTCTGCTTACTATACCTATTTTATTTTATCAACGTGCTTCTAAGATTGAGTAGGTAGGAGCACGATCCCCTTTCTCTTCTATAGCTGGTTCTGAAACACTATTCTCCTACTTCTGTTGAAAAATAACAGCAACAAAATCTAATTAAGGAAACGCTGATATTTTGAGAGTTATGGTATTTGGCATGCTTGCTGTCTCTACCCTTTTATTGCCACCTCCTATATTACTGGTGTCTCTTTTTCATAAAAAGACATTGGCACTTGACCCAGCTCTCTGTGCCCACCACATGGAGATGTTTTAGGTCTTTTAGAGGGAAGAAAACTTTGCAAGGAGCATGGGTATTAGCCTTTTAATTTTTTAAAACGTGAATGTTAGGCAGAAAGATTATAGAAGCTTAATATGCTGTTTATATTATAATTCTTTTTGCATTTTTCTCCATCGTTCTTCAGCATGCTTTTAAGAGCAGATAGTAGTTTGACTTGTTCTGAATTCTCTGAGTAGCTTCTCCCCTGAGGGAGGTTGGCAGACTCACCTCTCAGTGGCTGTTCATTCTCTAGAAGAACTGTGGTCAATAGTGTCATCACTATCCACTCAGATATGAAACTGAATGTACCTGGATTAAAGTTGATTTAGGCCCCTGTTATGCTGGTCACATTTAAGTGCTCAGTAACTTCATGTGGACTGGTAGTTACCAAATTGGACAGTGGAGATGTGGAGATTGAAGTGTTTGCTTTTCTTTTGGGTTTAACTCAGGAAATCTAAGCTGGAACTTACCTGTTTACTGCTCTGAGACCTTTGGCAGTTGAGTTATATAGTACTTGCAAGTCACCTTTCTGCCTCATCTAAAGGATTTAATGGTGTCATAGAGAAGACTATTTGGTCCTGTGGGAGCTCTCTATAATGTTGGAAATGTGTACTCATTTCCTATTCATGTTGTAACAAATTTCCATACAGCTAATTAGCTCCTTAAAACAGCGCAGATTTATTGCCTCACTGTTTTATAGGTTTGAAGTCTGTCTGACACAAATTCACCAGGTAAACTCAAGATAATGACTGTTTCTGATCCTTTCTGGAAGTTTCTAAGGAGAGTCTGTTCTCTTGCTTCTTCAGGTTTTTGACAGAATTAAGTTTCCTAAGATTGTAGATAGGAGGTTGTACATCTCAGCTCTTGAACCACTCACATTCCTTGCCTTTTGGCCCCCTTTCTTCATAGTCACTGTCTTTAAAAGGTAATTTCATGATTCACATATCTCCTGTTTCTTTCATCACATCTTTTTTACTTCAGCTGGTAAGATTTTCTGCTTAAAAGGAGCATGTGTGTTTATATTGGGCATACTTAGATAAGTTTAATAAATTATGAAATCTCTTTTGATTTATAAGATAACAAATTAGGGATTATGGAGTGTTGGAGTATTATTTGGTATAGCACATCTGCCCAGAATAATTCTTTACCCATTATTAAGCAAAATTAATTTATTTAAAGCCTACCTTATTTGGATTGGTCTTTAAATTCAGGGGGGTCTTTTTTTAGTTTTTCATATATTCTAGATATTAGTTCTTTGCCTGAAGGATAGCTGGTCAAAAATTTTTCCCCTGCTGTGAGTTGTCTCTTGACTCTGTTGGTTTCCAAAATGGGTATCTGAAATGAATAGTCACTTCTCAATTAAAGAACTGCAAACACCAAATTTAAGAAAAAATGAAAAAAATGTTCAATGTCACTGGTCATTTGAAAAGTGTAAATTAAAACAACACTGAGGGTTGTGGACTTAGGTCAGTGGTGCCGACTCCTCCCTCGCAAGCACAAAGTCCTGAGTTTGATCACTGGTAACAAAAAACAAAAAAATCAAAGCCCAAGACTGAGATTCCATTTCATTCTAGAGAGAATGGCTATCATAAAGAAATCAACCAATAACTAATGCTGGTAGGGCTATAGGGAAAAAGGAATCTTCTCCACTGTTGGTGGGGTTGTAAATTGGTATAACCAACATAGAGATCAGTTTGGAGATTCCTCAAAAACCTAAAGCTAGAGTTTTGAGTTCCAACTATTCCCCTTCTTGATATCTTGAAACAGTTAAAAGCATCATGTTATAGTGATATATGCACACCCATATTCAAAGCAGCACAATTTGTAATAGCTAAATTTTGGAAACAGCCTCAATGTTCATTAACAGATGAATGGATAAAGAAAAATTGATTTTATATGTAATGTAGTACTTCTCTGACAAAAAGAAGGATAAACTTGAGACACTTTTAGGTAAATGGATACACCTTGAGACCATACTTTTAAATGAAATAAATCTTACACATATTTAAATATCCTGTTGCTTCTCTTATATGAGATGCCAAATGTGCAAGCAGTGACCAAAATAGATGATAAATTTTGGGAAGAAGGAACAAAATTTTCATAGACGAAGGAGAAAAAGGGAGGGGAGAGGAGGAATGGAAAGGAGAAAAAAGAAAAAAAAGAATAGAAGGAAAAAAATGGAAGCAGCTTTTGTAAATGGGGAGAAAAGGAAGGATGAAAGGGCAGGGAAGAGAATGGGGAAAAAGAATTAAGATTTACTACATACAGGTACAATTTCCCTATTATGAACGTGATCAATGTATATGACCAGTATGTACTAATAAAAAACGCAGTTTAAAAATTAAAAAATAAAGAATGATCTTACCTTTGATATCTGAAAAAAATGCACCTTATTTGAAGAGGATAATTAAAATCCTGCCATTTTTATGTAAAAGATATAATTAATTTGCTTTTTGAGGGGGAGGATAGGAAATCTCAGGAGACTAATGGAGAAAATAAATTGGAGAAATGGAATCACTTAGAGGAAATCATTGCATCTTAAATGTTTTGTCTTATTACAGTGTTAAGCATTGTACTATCCAGAATAATAAAATTTGGAAAAAAATTGTTAAAATATTAGAAAAGAAGAAATGGGCTCTGACTAAGTTCTAAATGAACTCGTTACTCATATTTTATCTTTAAAAAATGAGACAATCTGCACAGAAGTGGCATTATCATTATAAATATCTGAAATTGAACACTGTTACAGTAATCCTATCAAAGTGTAAATACTTTTTATAATATATTCAACAGTTTTTAACATATTAGACTAGTTGATTTATAATACTTGTATTTTATTATGCTTCATTAAAATCTGTTTTGTTTGTTGCCATTTGTATATTTCCCATAGATTTCTATTCTCATTTTAAAACTACACAATTGTAGATTATCATCTTGTAAATATAATATGATGATACTGTCTTGTAAATAAACTATAATTTTTGAGAATTAATGTACTGTTTAACTTTTTTATCTTTCATTTATTTCATTAGCTAAGAAATCTTTCCAGCTTAGACCTACGTCACATCACTGAATTGGACAATGAAACTGTGATGGAAATTGTCAAAAGGTGCAAAAATCTTAGCTCTCTCAATCTCTGTCTGAACTGGATCATAAATGACAGGTAATTGTTGTAACATCTTAAGAATACTTTTCTAAAAATGTAGCAAATATGAACTGCATTTATAATAAGGCATGTTGATGTTTAAGTAAAATGGAATGCTGCTTTGCTTTTTCAAATTAATATGCTTCAATCATGAATATCACCTAAATATATACTTTTATTTTCATTGCTGAGGATTGAACCCAGGGTCTTGGATATGCTAGGCAAGTAGACTGCCACTGAGCTACATCCCTAGCTCTAGATGTATAGTTTTAATACATCCACTGCTTATGACTGTAACCAGGTTTTATGTGTGTTGATGTGAATGTGTGCCTAATTCATTATAACAGTAGTAGTCTGTTAAATTTTTCTGTTACCCACTCAGGATATAGTATTTGTCTTCGTATTATTTTTGCAACTTTTGTTACTGATCTTACTCTTCACTTGTCAAGGAAAATGATTATGAAAAACTATCTCAAACATTATTTTTTTTTTTTTTTTTTTTTTTTTTTTTTTTTTTTTTTTTTTTTTTTTGGTACTTGGTATCGAACTATCGTACTGGGGTCCTTGCACTTGCAAGGAGGTGCTGGAACCACTGAGCTAAATTACCGGCCCTAGACCTTTTCTTAATGATGACATTTTTTTCTCTGTGCAAGTATACTTTGCTTTGGAAATGAAAGTGATGTGATTAGTAGTTTGATATATAGTGCTAAAATGTCTAAAGTCCAAAACTTGTCTTATAAATAATGTTAGACCCTTTTTTATATATTGCATGAAGGAAGGAAAATTCTTCAAAGTAGGCCTTTAAAATAAAACTTTGGCATGGTACCACTGGCACTACTGGTCAGTTTAGGTCAGTTTGTAAACATAGGCATGAGTTAGGATTCTTGCCCACTAAATTTATAGGAACTTTTTTTAAGATAGGCCACCAAAAATCTTTACACTTTCAAAATAGTAAGTACTATTCTAGCTAAAATTAGAACCTTTATAGATTGAGATATTTTTAAGTAGGAGTTTACATTTTACAACAGATAATACTTTAAATGTAAAGCTCCCTCCCTCCTCCTACTTTTAATTTCTTTTTTAGACTTTGAAAATAAAATCATATGGATTTCATTTTCCTCAATTTTGAGAAATTTAAATGATTTTTTGATTGCCCTGAATTATTATTTAAATTAAAATAGCTTTGACTTGATTCCTTCTTAATAAAAATTTTCTAGATTTTACTTTGTTATTTAAAAATTTTAACACAGTATATAAAATTTGTTCACATACATACATTTTAAATTTATATGTAAAATTATGAATATGGATTATCCATATGATGTTTCAATATGTTTACATTACATAATGTTTAAATCAATTTGAATATGCTCGTCTCTTCAAATATTTATCTATTTGTTAATGGTGGAAACATTCATGATCCTTTCATTTAGATTTACCAGTATTTATAATTACTCTTACTGTGCAGTAACACACCAGAACTTCTTATATCTATCTGTGACTTAGTATCCATTGATAACTACTCCTATTGTTTTATAAATACTCTTAGCTTTCATGATATCAATTTTTTCAGATTCCATATATGAAGAAGGTCATCTAGGACCCTTCTGTGTTTGTCTTACTGTACTTAACATAATGATATCTAGTTGCATACAAATTACAGGATTTTATGTTTTTTTCATGGATGAATAGTAATCTGTTAAGTTCATATACTGCATTTTGTTTATCTATTCATCACTTGATAAAAATTTAGGTTGATACCATTTTCTTGGGTGTTACGAATATGCTGCTGTGAATGTGAAAGTTCAGGTGTGTCTCTGACCATTTCATTGCCTTTGCATATATACATAGTGTAAGACAGTTGGGTAAAATGGATGTCCTATTTTTAATTTTTTCAGAACCTCTATACTGTTTTCTCTCATGACTGTATTAACTGACATTCCTACCAATAGTTTATAGGGGTTCCCTTCTCTCCTCATCTCACCAGCAGTTGTTATCTGTTGTTGTTTGATATTGCTATTCTTCCTGGTGTGAAGTGATATGTCATTGTGGTTTTGCTTTCTTGCATGATTAGTGATGTTGAGCATTTTTAATATACCTGTTGGTCATTTACTCCTTTGAGTCTATTTAGGGTTATTAACCATTTTTTAATTGGATTATTTTATTTGTTCTTGTTGATATTGAGTTAAGCCCTTTTATAATCTGAATATTTATCCTTTTTTGTGTAGTTTGCAAGTATTTTCTCCCTTTCTTTTGGTTCTTTTCACTATGATGATTTGTTTTGTGTAATCTCAGTTTTGTAATTTAGCTTTTGTTTCTTGTACTTCTGGAGTCTTGTCCAAAAAAATCTTTGCCCATTGCAATGTCATGAAATACTTCCCTTATGATTTCTTCTAGTGGTTTTCATAGATTCAGGCCTCATGTTTAAATGTTTAATTCCTAACTTTTTTTCTTGACACGTTTACTAATATTTCAAAGTTTTGTATTTTCTTCAAAATTCACTGATGTACAATGGGTATGTGATTATCACTTATGATTGGTTTTCATTATTTTTTAGTAATACCAAAGTTCGCCAAAATCTAATGAAAATTGATTTCAATTTAAAAATTCATTTTTTATATAGAAGTGATTAACATTATTCTGTATAGACAATTATATGACAATTTGTAGTCATCGTTAGGAAGCTTTTAATAACAAAAAATAAAATAAGAACATAAACATTGTGGTTTTAGTTGAACATTAGCTAAATACTGAGATAATTTTATTAGTTTTGCATTTAGTTTAAAGGGATGACCTTTTCTGCAATAAAATGATTATGTTCCATGAGAATTGTCTGTATATCTGACCTATATATCTACATATTGTGACCTGTGGAAGAGTCAGTAACTGAAGAATATGTTAATTGGGAAATAAAAATTAGTCCATGTATGATTATGTATATGGATTACTCCTAAGTAAACTTTTGCATAGGCTTGTATCATTTTAACAGATATTAGGGACTTCTAGTATTCCAGCTCTTTAAATGTTTATTTGGCCATAATGGGTAACATACAAATGAAAACATGGGCAGCATTTGCATTGCCTTCCTTCCCTTTGTTAGGTGCCATGTACTCAAACTTTTCATTATTTCAATCATTTTTTCTCTCCTACTTAACGGTAATGGTTATTTGGTGTTTGATCTTAAATACATGTACTGAAGAGATTTATTTGCAAGGATGAAAGTATATTTTTATGTGTTTAATGGAAAAGTTTGGATTAATTGAGAAAACATGCATTTTAATGAGGTTGAGTAGTAGAGTTTTAAAGATCAGACTCTTTTAGGTTTTAATTACCTACTTGCACTTATTCTGTGTACTGTAATAGAAGTTTCAAACATTAAAATCCACTTTGCAGTATCATCTAAATTACTCATCTCATTGTTCTTGCCATACTATATTACTAAGCTAAGTAATATTTGTAATTATATTGGTATAAATCTAGGACTTCCCATCAGACTTAATTATAATTTCAGCACTTAGCTGAGATAGGTTAGTAACCTTTAATATAGAGGGCACTGCAATGCACTAATGCATTTAGCCTATCAATTAGCTTCTGTTTTACATTTGTTCATTATTATTATCCTTCAGTAAATCAGGAAGCATTTATTAACCTCCTACTAAACACTTGGTACTGTGCTTCAGACTGTGAGCACTGAGAGCCTGTTGCTTTCAAAGGTCACTCTTCTTAGGTGACATATGACTTAATGATAATAATGAGTCTTGTAAGGATAGATGGGAGGAAAAAACCTTTATTACCCAGGTAATTGATAGGCACTTTACACATGTTCTCATTTGTGCCTTTCAATATCTTTTGTTCAAGGGAAGGTCATACTATTTCTATTAAATTTAGACCATTTGTTTGACTTTTCTTTGGCTTTTCAGTGGATGTACTTTTTGTCATTGTGCAATAAAAATTGGGTAAGGACAAACAAGAAAAAGTGAAGGGCTCATGAGTCCATTTTCCATTTGATAGCTGGAGTTCACACACAGTTGACATTTATATGTAAAATTCTTAGTTTTTTTGTATTTCCTGAACTCATTTTTTTTAAATAGAAACTGTGGATAATATTTTATATATAATACTTATTACAAGGATCTATATTTTATGTTGGTGGTTTTAAAAAAGGGCTCCTCACAAAGTTAGTCTCAGTTCTTATATAAGATTTATCCTAGGTTTTGAAAGTTATTGTCTGTGAATATTATTTTTGAAGCTCAAAATTTAAAAATAGGTGATGATTGATTAACTTTTCTGTTATGCTAATGGTGTTACCATTTAGTCTTCCTGGAATTGATCTGTGTGACTAAGACATGCTGTTCTTTATCTTTTTTTTCTAAAAGTACTTTTTGTATTGAAAGAGTTGAACATCATGATATTTCCTTGTATTCAGATGGATGCTCTAGTAGTCATTTGACATTTACCATTACTTTTGAATACAAATAAAATCTAAGTGTTTCATGAAAAGAGAACGCTGTTTCTATCAGTGATTTAAATTAAACATCTGGTTATTATGTCTCTTCTACTCTCTCTGACTCTGTTTATTGAAAAATTTATTTGTACTTGCTATAAATTTTTTGTTATTTTATATTCAGCTTTGTCTTCAGCATTTTTGTGTGTTTGACACAGAGTATAAAAGTAGCATGTTTTGGGCCGGGGATTTAGCTCAGTGGCACTGCAGCTTGCCTTGCAAGCAAAAGGTCCAGAATTTGATCCATGGTACAAACAAAAAGTAACATGTTTCAGATATAAAAGCTGATATGTAAAAAACTGAATGTTTTTGAGCATCATCGTAGCAATATGTTTAAAATGGCTCCTTTATCCTTTTTTTTTAACCAGTAAGACTCGAACGAAATTGGATTTTAAGTTATCATACAAAAGATCCTTCTGAGCACAGACTTTTGGCGGGCTTGGGGGTACCAGTGATCAAACTCAGGACCTTGTGCTTGCAAGACAGGTGGCAGCACCACTGAGCTAAATCCCCA